TAACATTAGTGGACCCTTGGCAGAGAGAAATGTACTTTCTAAAAGTTAAACAAAGTATTAAGAAATAGAGAAAAATCTTTAGAAACAAAGAAATGAGTACTGTATTATCAGACCTATATGGCAGGGAATGCTGGACAATCTGCTCACAGAAAAAGAGACTTCAATCAACAGAAATCTGGTTCTATAGAAGGATGCTGAGGATACAATGGACTGAACACTTGAACAAGTTTTAGAAAAAATGGAAACAAAAAAATGACACGTATATCAGGAAGAGGAAGCTGAAATTTCTCGGACATATAATGAGGAAAGACGGCTTGGAGAATTTGATACTCACAGGACAAACTGAAGGCAAGACGGACAGGAAAACAACGCATAACCTATAAGAGCTACAAAGGGTAGGAAATAGTGAGGAGCCATGATCACCAACTTCCTGAAGATACACAGCACAAAGAATAAGAAGAAAATGACGAAGACGAAGAAATAATGATGATAAGGATGATCATGATGGTGTTGGCGGAGAGCTATGATCACCAACATAAAGAAGAAGAAAATGAAGTATTATTATTATTATTATAGTAAAATGATGATGACAATGATGCTGGTAGATAGCCATGATCAGCAACGTATAGAAGAAGGAGGAGGAGGAGGGAGGATTTTTTGCAGACATGCAGAAAGTGTTAGCCACACCAGCAAATATACATACATAGTAGCGAGATAATTTTAATGTCAAGTTTAAGTATTCAGTCTGAGGCAAGTAATTCATAATTTAATTATTTATTGCCTAAAGTTCTTTTAAGAATTTTACGCATAGATTGAATCTCGTTCTTTAAGCCAACATCTGCAGGCAATTTCAATTTAATACGAATAACGTTGTACACATTGTTGTTAGGCGAAAGGGGGCAAATGTCTGTCTGAATTTCTGAGACGACGAATCATCATCATTATTTTACACTGATTCATTCAAACTGTTGTTCTCATATTGGTTGTTATGATATCTTCGGTACAGCCGTCGTAAACTCTGACCTTCTCCAAAAGACAGTCGAAATTGTAATCCCTTCTTTAGGTTACCAGCACGATCAAATTACTTTAGCATGTAAGCCAAGCCACGTTTATTACACATTGATCTGAAGTAAAAGTGTCGATCTGTACGTAAATAATCCCATGATTTTACGAGTAATTTGTATATTTATAAACTTAAAAAATGGTGGGGGGGGGAGAAAAAGATCTTCATAATAGTCTGGACTTATTACTATTGATTCATTGACTGACGAATTAATGTTACTGTCGATTGAAATTTACGATTTTTTTCTCAAAAATCTGTTAACTGTTATGTTTTTTTTTTTTTTTAAATCGGTTTCATTCCAAGCAAGGCAGTAAAGCCACTAAGACACAAGGAGTTAGTGGGTGTGGAAGAATTAGGAACATTACTAATGAGTGGGAAGAGAAAAGAGTATTTAAGAGTAGATACCGATTGACATTGCATTTAAACTTTTTGAAGTTTAAAGTTGGCTGGAAAGCATGAAGCCAGAAGGCAGTTCCACAAGTAAAAAGTACGAGAAAAGAAACTGTTAGCATAGAATTTCCGGCTACATCTAGCCAGCACAACTGCAAATTGATGAGACCTCATCGCCAATCTAGTACTGAACCTAAATTCAAAACGTCTAGGTGCCATAACGACGAGCTCATCCGAACAATTACCATGAAAGTAGTTATAGAAAAAGGCACAGAGAGGCAACCTTACAGCGGTAGGAAAATGACTGCCAGATCAGAACCAATAATATTGCTAATCCTTCTTTATATTTTATCAAGGATATCCAGGTAAATAGCAGGTGGTAGCAATATTATAAGAATGGATAATTTGTAGACTTATAGATATGTGAGAGAAAATTGTCTCGCACGACACATTAAACCGACTTTCTTAACAGCTGACCTAGGAATGGATTCAATATAGTCTTTCCACTTCATGTCAGCTGAAAACGTTGGCTCGAGGATAGTTCTTTCTAATACAGGGGTGAAGGGCCATTCTATACTTTCTGTTTTTGATAGTATGGAAAATAAACCGTTTAATTTGATCATTCTTTTCTCTTCCATTTGGACACGCTAACATTTTTGATGATGTTAATGTTAAAAGTGTTCATACGATGTGGATTTCGTCACTTGGTAAGGCTCTTAGTCTGTGATTTTACAATGCCAGTCTATACAGTCTGATGAAGTACCATTTTCTTTAAGACTTACACGGTTCATTCACTTGAAGTAAATAAATTTAGTTTTACTATCGAGCCCCCTGACGAATGATTGTAATCTCCGCAAAACTCAGACTCGGGACAGATAAGTGAGAACTTTTTATTATTATTATTATTATTATTATTTTATCTTTGTATATGAAAATAAGTAATAAAGATTTTAACAAGAATTATAAAGATTTCAGCGAGCAAGTGTATTAGGCAGCAGAATTTGTCATTTTATAATCCCTCTTATCTTTTATCTAAATAAATAAACTGCAAATTCTGTCTGTCCGTCCGTGTGTCTGAAAATCCCTCTAGCTCTGGACACACTTGCTCTACATAGACATATCATACCTTTTAGGAATCAGGGAAATCTGCCCTTCATCCTGTGCTTGAACATCCGGTATTGGTACTTATGTCCGGATGAGTAGCAACAGTTAAATTTTTTAAATTTAAAAGAACTGAAAAAAAAAAATAGTGATTTTAAAAGTTTTTAATCTGTATTGAATTTAGAGTAACACAAAGAATTGTGGATTTAAAGGTTTTTGTTTTAAATTCAGTTTAAAAAAATCTCCAACACTTTGTGAATTGAGAAAATCAGTTTTATGTCAAGGAATCAGAGTTAAAAATGAGAGGTTTCGTAACGTGAGATTTTGAAGCTCCGCAGAGTTTGTTATTTGAAGAACTCACTTTTCGGCCTGAAATGGAATTTCGGCCCAAATCAAACTTCCAGCCCCAAATCGGACTTTCGGCCCAAATCCGTCTTGTGGCCACAATTGGATTTATAGCCCAAATTAGAGTTAAAGCGAGATGTTGAAGTTCGATGGAGTTAATTGAGGAATTCAAAGTTATTTCTTCAAAATTATCATTGCCATCTTCTAAGCGGGACCAGAGGTCTATTTAATTTTGGACCTGAGGCCCAATTAGCCCACGCAGGAGCTAGCTTAAAATTCCGCTCGGAATGTGGCTTTTAAGTTAGTCTGTTATATAGACAGAATTCATGGAAAAGTTTTCGATGAATAAATTCTTTAGTTTATCGTTAAACACGATTTAAAGTATCGATTAAATTAGGAAATTAAACTTCTCGAGTCCACTGTCATAGTTCTTTCTAATGTGGATGCGAGTTTCATTTTGAACTTTCTGTTATTGATCGTATGGAAAATAAAGAGCTTACCGTATAAACTCATGTATAAGTCGACTTCAGGTATAGTACGTCCCCTGAATTTTTTGCATGAATTTTAACCCTTCCAGAAAAAAAAAAGAGTATAGAGCAACATGTCACCGAAAATTCATGATTTTTAACATCTTCAAAAAATATTCCCTGTGTATAGTGCAACCCCTATTTTTTGCATAAAAATCTGATCATAATATATATATATATATATATATATATATATATATATAATACGGTAATTTATTTTCGTGATTTTCTCTTCCATTTTGATGTTCTATTATTTTTAATTATATTACTGTCGAAAGTGTTCATGTGATGTTGTTTTCGCCATTTGATAAAGCACTTTATTAAGAAGTTTGGGGTGCCAGTCGATAGAGCCTGATGAACGACAGTCTTATTTAAGATAAACATGGTTCATCCCCTTAAAGCCATTTCAATCATTGACCCGAGAAAACCTTTGTATACAGATAGGAGTTTACAGAACTCCGAATGAATTAGATTTGGTTGATTTTTTTTTAGTGGCATATCAACAACTGTATGGGTTATTTAATGCCGAAATCTAAATATTTTGAAAGCAACTGTATGACTTATCTATGGATAAAATGTATTGTTGGTGATTTTGATATAAAATAGTAATGTTGGTAATTTTACTATAAATAATACGTATTTATAGTATAATTTCCAACAATTGTAATGTTGGCAATTTTACTATAAATAGGTATTTTGGGTCATCATCATGACTTGGCTTCGCAAAACGAAAATCACAAGGGAGTCTATACACGTCGCTTGCAGGTATGTTTGTGATTGATAAGTCCAATTCTGGGCAGGCATACTCGGTCGCAGTAGTTGTAGCTAAACGCCTGACCTAGCCTCGATGGCATAGCATTGCAGTACGTCCTCCTTTGCATCTTGTCCCTGAGAGCGGCCCTGCAGGTATTTTCAAAGAAGGAAACAGCATGGTTGGTGGTGAGACGCAAGGCGTCACGGTTCTCAGCTAAGGTTGACTAAATGCTACGGTTAATATGACAGGCAACAAAGGATTTTTCAGCGGGGAGTATTTTTGGTAATTTTACTATAAATAGGTATTGTTGGCAATTTTACTAAAATAGGTATTGTTGATAATTTTTCTACAAATAGGTATTTTTGGTAATGAAAATGAAAACGATACTTCATTTGAGGCAAGCTATGTAAATGAAATTGGGTAATCGAAACCTTTCAGAAACTGTCGAGCTTTGTTCTAAGTAGAAGCTCTTCAGTTTTGGTAGCATCCATCCCCCAGCAGCTTGAACCACTCAAGATGTCTCGGTCCTTATAAATGGGTTAGCTATTCTTCTAACGGTACCGTACGTCAGATTAAGCTAATCTTTTGATTATCGGTTTGTCGCCTGTGTTACCGACCGATAATAATCTAGTGCTGCAGTCCATTTCTAGAACTGAAGTTCGATCGTCGCTATTCGCTACATTATTACAAGACCTGCACCAATCTGTGAATAGTAAATTATAATAAACATCTGGGTTGAAATTATTTCCTGCGGCCTTAATTATTTCTACTGAAATATTATGTTGTTAATTTTTTTGTATAGTTTCTTTCATTCTAAGGCTGACGGCCATATCACGTTGAAAAATTGGTTACCGTACGATCTCCGAAGTTAAGCAACGTCGAGCTTGGTCAGTACCTAAATAGGTGACCGATTGGGAATACTAGGTTCTGCAAGCTTGGATGCGCGATGGTGTAATGGATAATGGCTCGAAATTGTTAATCGGGCGAGCAGAGTTTCAATTCCCGTTGATTTTGTTATATTCACTTACGCACAAAAAGGAAAGGCATGAGTCCTCCGCGTTTCTCCCTACCTATGGGATAATTAGTAAAATTCGTAACATTAAACTATTATTAAGAAAATCCCACAAAAATTCTTACAATCTTCAAAGGGTTGATAAAGAGTAGAAAACTAATCAATCAACATATATTTCTATAGAAAGAGTTCAGACGAACCAAATTCCATAGTTCCAACACTCCTAACCTTTACAGCTAAAACCCGAGATGCCACGCACATTGATGCGAATCCCCATTATTCCTTTCCTACTCCATTCGTGAGATGTAAGTTCCAAATGAACAGCTTCTTCTTACGGACCGGTACTCTATAGAACGGACTTCCAAGTGGATGCTTCCCCGATGACTACAATCTTAAACTCTAAGATTAATAATTCTTTTCCTGAGATATTTCCGTAAACTATGTCTATCTCTTACTCTATAGCCCTCTAGATCTAGCACCTCTTATACCTCGTACTGGGTGAACATAATTATAAAAATAAATATTAAAAACCCTTTGGGAAAGCTAAAAGAATTCTTATATACAATTATTTATAAAAATGTTAATTTATAAATTCAAATATCACCAAATAATTATTATCTAAAAGAATTATTAAATCTAAAAAAATATTTTTTTTTAAATAACCTGTAAAAATAAGCCGTAAAAAAGACGTTTTCAACTAAATATAGTAAAAAAAATGAACCTTTAAAACATCAAAGAGTCAATTAAGTTTCCAACTATAATGAGGAAGGAGGGCTTGGAAAATATGATACCATAATTTTCAGATTGAAAAAAAGATTAGTGGAGGTTTTCAAAACGTTTAACAAACAGACAAGACACATAAAAATATCAAAATAGTAATGATAAAAACAGGGTTGAAATTATTTTCTGCAATTATAATTATTTCTTCTAAAATATTCTGGTGTTATTTCTATTTTATCTTATTTTATTTATTTATTTATTTATTTTTTTTTTTTTTTTGCTTGGTTGGTTCATTTTTATTTCGGGCGATTTTTAAAAACGGGCTAATTTGGTAAAAATGTTTCCTGTCCAGATATTTATAACCTTATAAAAACAATAAATAAATGACAGCAGTTCATCTTTTCAAGACAAACCAGACAGCAAGGTTGTTTGATGATATTAATAGCCTCCCCCATCTCCTGCGGGTTTGTCTCATTTCGCTATTTTTTCATTAATGGTAACGCAATTGTGCACGATGTTGGATTGTTGGGTTCAAAATGATGAGAGTCAAAATGACGCTTCGTGTGTTTAACTCTGCTTTATTTTCATTTAACTCATAATGCTGCCTGACCTCCACGTGAGGAAGTATGAGACGGGTGTGAGGCAGAAGGGATGACGACACCGACGGCTGCTATTGGAATGAAAATGGCAAGAGAATGAAGATTTAATTTTATCTATTTTAAGAATGCGCAATTATTTGCAGAAGGAAACGGAGACAAATGGTGGTTTGATCGTTTAAAAATAAGTTTTTAAGTCACTTTTCACATACAAAATTTTGAAAAACAAACTGCCAAAATAATATTGAGATTTTCATCCAAATTTTTACCCACACTATCTCCATCTTGTTTCATTTGCACAAACCAGAAATTGACAGGTTCTAAACTAAACGATTGTGACCCCAATTCTTCGAAAAATAAATATATTTTCAATTTGATGTTGGAGGCAAATGCTTTCTTCAGTGCGTTGGATATTATTATTTTCACTATTTAAGAAAATAATAAAACAGATCAAAAAGACTCAAACATAAACTTTCCCATTATTCAAAAGTATATAGTGTTTTATATAAATATATATATATATATATATGAACATAGAACGTTAAAATTTTCTAACGATCGTATCTAGCATTAAACATTCAGACTGTCGCCTCTAAGTGTGGACTTTATATTCACTTTTTTTTTTTTACGCTCTATTCTGATATTGAGCACTTTATCCCATAAATATACACATCTTAAGACTATATTGACTATATTTCTTTATATATATATATATATATATATTAAACATGTACAAAAATAAAATATAAATATATCATTTATAGGAATATAATTATATATATATATATAAAATATGTACAGGCGACAGTCTGTTTCATGCTATATGTTCGTCAAAAAAGATGATATATATATATATATATATATATATATATATATATATATATATATTTCTGAGGCCTTCTATAGATTCAACTTCCATTTTTTTGAAGGTTCCTTGGATTGGGGATAATAATCCTTGTTATGTTAAACAGATAAATAGGACGGTTTCTAATTCTTTTTGTGTTCTGTTGCTTTACGTATATATTTTTTTTTTGAATACCAGGCCTGCAAATTTCCTTCAAATCGTATTAATAATTTGTGCTACATCAAATTGAGTATTTGGTTTACGAATTGAGTTGCCATTGCGCCGCTGGTTATGTTCTGGCGTAAATCTCCATTTATTTAGAAACATGGATCAATCGTCATTGCATTTCGAAAATAAGACTTGGCAAAATAAAAATTGCTGTTTTCCTTCATAATCTTCGAATATGGAATCTTTGCTATTGTTCCAAAACATTTCGTGGAAAATATAGCATGATATCCTCTTATAATTTAAGAACTGGTTTAGAATTATTCATTTTTCAATTTAATTTATAATCATTTTCTATTAAATCTCTATATCACTTCGCAAACCTTCTCTCTGATGTCAGAAGGATTTAAATCAGTCTGTTTATTTTTTTTAATATTTTAAACTTATTGTCCCTCGATAATTGTATTTTACAATAAATTTTTTCCATCTTTCGAATCTATATATATATATATATATATATATATATATCCTTATCAGAACCCTTTAATCGCCTTTTTGCTCTTCATTATCGTTGTTTTTTGTTCATTCATAATTTATTGCCAAGGATTTACTCCTGATGAGATTTTTGATGAAAAATATGTTAAAGAGAATGAATTTTCCTTCTTTTTAAATCAATATATATATATATATATATATATATATATATTTGTGTGTGTGTCCTGTCCATTTTTTCCTTTGTGTGTATAAATGTGTCAAATATATATATATATTAAAAATATTATATATATATATATATATATATATATAATATATAGAAATTGAGAGAGCATCTATCATTTTTCTTTTTTCACTTTGGGGAGGTTTTGGTTCACTAAAAAACAAATGATAAAACATAGTCCAAAACCACCATATGTCCACAAATTTGGTAATTTTTGAGTTATTAAGTTTAAAATCTCACGTTTATGGTAGATGACGCTGTATTGCAAGTGGATTAAATTACATCTGTATTTCGTGTACATTTGTTGCTTGTCTATCTTCAACGTTTAACGTGTGTAGTAGTGATTTAACTGAAAAGTAATCCACTAAACAATGACAGGACATTCATATCGGGAGCAGGCAGATATAATTTTTATATATGACCGATAAACAAACATTAACTTTTGCTGTTGTTCATCGTCGCGTTGCTAAAGACAGGATTAATGACACCATGGACAATGGATTGAGAAAAACAAGATCCGCTCGCAAGTAAAAGAACACGAAGAACACATTCTACAGGTTGTCTGAGAAAATCCAGGTATTAAATACCATGACAAAGTGGCCATTTATGTCGTATTCTCTCATACTAAAAAGTATGGGTTTGTCGGTAATTCAAGAACAATTTTTGTATCCATATCATTTTTATATTTAGAAAAATTTTGCCGATGCTTTATTGAATATTGCTGCCGATCATATTGTTTTTCTTTTCAGTCTTGTTTACGGATGAGGCAACATTTAAAGTGAATCATAAAAATTACAAGGTAACTAACATTTTTTGGGTGGATCAGAAATTCCCATGGTGAAAATACAGACTAGACACCAGCATCAGTTTACGATTAACGTATAGGCTGGAATTGTTAGGTGACTGTCCTGTATTTTCCATATGAATTCCCAGAACCAGGGCTGTTTACAAACTTTATTTCAGAACAGATCTGCTAGAGGATGTTTTGATTAGGCTGATATATTTTAGTTACATCGTTTTTCTCAATAATAACTGGCTCACATCTACCATGAAAAATCAAGATTTCATAGTGGAGAACCAGTTAAATGGCCTACATTTTCTTAAGATAAAAATCCTTTGTATATTTATTTGTTTGCGATAGTAAAAATATTATATATATTATATATAGAAATATTATCATAACGTCTTATGGGGGCAGAGAAATTATTTGATTAATGAAGGAGTATTAGAAAAGATCCGCCACTCAATGATCCGATATTCCATGCGTATTAGAATAGAAAAAAATATTTTATTTGTTTTTAAATTGAAACCCAAATTTCAGTTCGTTTGTTTTTTATATATATATATATATATATATATAATAAAAATAAAATAAAATTGTTTATAATATTTAAATGGTCATAATTTTATTCCTTAAAATGTATAAAATATGTATGTATGTATCTTTCAAACAAAAATTTATGGGCGTATATATATATATATATATATATATTTATATCTATAATATATAATTGTCATACCGAAAGTTTGATACATTCGCTTTCTGTCATGGTAAATAAATCATTTCACCATCGTCGATTTGATAGTGCCTTTAAATCAAATCAAATAATCTATATTTATATCAAGGTAATCGTCGATAATTGTTGAATAGGGTTAAAGTCACAAAAATCGTGACCGAGTTGTTTCAGTGTAAAAGACCTTCTTCACAAAAAATCACCCTGTATCTAAAAACGCTTATACATAATTTGCGGTATCGACCATCATTAAAATGTAAAATATTTGGGTGAAACAAAATTAATAAAAAAAAAGGCGTCTAATTAAACAAGGAAAAAATTATATTGCCCATAAATAAATCTATCCTCATATATTTATATATCTGCTATATATATATATATATATATATATATATATATATGTATGTGAAAATATATAGAAAATAGGAAGGAACTGGTTAGGTAAATAATCCAAAGTCCCTTAGTATTTTTTAGTTATTATTTTTTAAAAAATAGTGCTCGATACAAAAGTAGAGCATAAATATAATTATTTATTTAAAAATATGATTCCAAATCGCTACATAAGAGGTCTCATGTTTCAAAACAAGAGCCGAAAACTTCAATATAATCCTTTAAATTAAATTCAGTTGAAAGTAAAATGGGCTCCGTTCCATCTTCAAGCGAAATTTTTTTTGGAATAACGTATATCTGAAATTTACTTGTTTTAAAATTGAAATCAAAATCCCCATGGTAACAGCTATGGTGAATTTTCTAAATTGGGTAGGCGAGTGTAGGGTGTTTATAATAAGTAGCGGTATAGAGATACTTTCAAGGTGTCAAGTCGGGGAAAGGTGGGGGTGTCAAAAAATGAAACGGAAGATGTATTGGCCATCGTCTAGTTTGCTTGTCTATGGAGATTTATTTATTTATTTTATTTTATTTTTTTTATGAAAAAAATTGTGCATATAAAAAAAAAAAAAAAAAACTTTCGTAACGTTTGTTTTTTGACGACTTCATAAAGGGTTATCTTTTATATGTAAGGTATTTAAACTACTAATTTAGGCTATGGATTATGAAGTGTGTTATATTGTATGCATGTTTGTAGTTAATTATTCCTACTATGAATCTGATGATTGGGCTATTTGTTAAACAAGTTATATAAATTTTTTTTTTTTTAGCTAATAATTCAAACCAAAAATCTGATGATGCCTACAAAAAACCGTTAACTCGTGTCTATTATTTAATAGATTATTATTATTTAGAAGTTTAATAATGTGTAATTTTTCATGGAGGCACAAAGGGCATGGGTCATCCCAAGCTTTACATATTCTAGCCTTGTTTATAATTTTCCATTTAACTTTTGGTGTCCTATTTGTTTCCTTCAGGTGCCAAAATATTTTGATAGTGAAGTCTGATTTCGTTTGTTTATATTATTAAAGGAGCACTTATGCTGCCTCCATCTATTTTTAAAATTATTCTTCGTGGACCCAATGTATATCATATTAGTGCTAGGGCTCTCTGTGGATGAAATAGTACATTGGTATACCACAGAATTAATACAACATTTATTTTCTAATGGGCAGTCTTCTGGGTTTCTACAGTTACATAATTTTTCCCTTTTATCGTCTGATTTAAGTGCAGAGTTTTTATTAATACTGTTTTTGGCATGGGGGTTTGTTCAAGATCTTATTATTGTGTTTTTTTTTATTATGCGTTCAAGATTTTCAGAGCAGCTGTAGCTCAATTTTGGGGTGTTCTTATTGAATATATTACTAAGCTTACTATTGGTGGGGAAGTGTTTATTAATTAGAGCTAAGAATTTCTGTCCTAGTTTAATACTAACCCTTTGGTTGAACGGAGGGGTGTACCAAATGATATTTTTTTTCCTGTTTTTTTTTTTTCTATGTCCAGTGTAATTTTCTCTGTAGTTAATGTTAGCATTTTTATAACCACTATTTTTTTTTAGGGCAGTGTTATAGAAGCTATTGTGTTGTTGGAATATTTCCCTGTTTGCGGAGTTAATGCTAATTCTATTTTCTATTGATGAGGGTATATGTTTAATTATTGATGGAGGATGGTTTGACTTCGGTGTATGTATAAATAAAGTTTAGCATTTGGTTTTCTATAAGGTTGGTATGTGTTGCCTGGTAAGTCTAGAGTTACGTCGAGGAAGTTAACCCTTTTCAAATTAGAAGAGACAGTTATCTTTAAGTTTAGTTTCTTAAATTCACTAAATATAATTTTTCTGATTTTTTTTCAATCTTAAAACTAGTAGAACTCCTCACCACCATGAGCCCGTCATCTCTATACAGCCCGATGTCCTTAACATCAATTTCGCGGTGTGCCGTTAAATTGTACAGTATTAGGAGACCAACAAGGTCAGAAGACTCTGCAGAGTCTAACGATCCCATAGTGATGTCAAACAGGTCGTTATTGTTTTTATCCATTGGTCCCCATTGTGAATGAGGACCGATTTTTTTGCACTGAGGATTATATCCGTTTCATCCTTTGTTAGGTTAGAATACACAGCAGCAAAGTCCAGGGCAGTCATAAATAAATCCTTCGAAATTGATGGGTAGTAGTCCACGATATCGAACTGTATAAGGGTGCAATTCCGTTTATCATCAATATAGTTAAACCAATTGATAACATCTTTAGTGTTGATCCATAATTTTAATTCCAGTTGTTTTTTTATTTGGCAGGTAATTTTTTCCAGGATCCTTTTGCTGATCTTTCCTATGTCGGGTCGGGTAGGGTTAATTATTCTGGTCGCAGGGTGTTCTAAAAAAAAGTCAGGCTTATGATCCTTAAGAGTTATATAACATTCTTTTTCAGTAAGTTTACCTACTTATCGCTGATTTTTAATTTATCAGTTTTTTTACTAGTTTTGTTTATGCTATCAACCATATTAATGTTGTTGTTGCAAATATTTTTTTATAAGTCCTGGTTAAGTTTTTTTTAATTAAGTTGTTGTAGTCGTCGACATCCAATTTGTAGAAGTCGCCGGTTTTGTCAGACTTAACTAATATTTTGTCACAATCATTAATGCTTTTAACTATTTGGTCTAGATGTTTTTGGAAGTGGTTTTTTCTTTTTTTTTGAAATATGATTTTATTTTTTGAAAGGAGATGTTGTTTATATATATATATATATATATATATATATATATATGGTTGAATAATGAAGAAATAGTAAGCTTTTATTAATTTAATTTATTTGTTTATATTTAAGCTTCATCAGAAATCTTTAAAGCTTGAATAAAATTGAAACCTCTATCGTTTTTGTAAATGTTTATTTGTTCGTGATTCTATCATTCTATTGGATTTTAATCCATATTTAATTTCAATTAAACACGAACACAGCAGTCATTGCACACACACACACACACACACACATTTATATATATATTTTACAATATATATATATATATATATATATATATATATATATATATATATATATATATATATATATATATATATATATATATATATATATATATATATATATATATATATTTACGTAAATATATATATATATATATATATATATATATATATATATATATACGGAAAACATATATATATATATACGTGCGTATTGCTATATATATATATATATATATATATATATACGTGCGTACAATATATATATATATATTACCGTTCTCTTCATGGTTCTTGAATGGACTTTGAAGATAGAAGCCAGAGTTTGAAAGTTGGTATCGTTACTGAAGGCCTGAATGATCTTTTTCCTCTCACAATTGCTCAGTTGGGAAAACAGAGGGGTTGACAGAAAATGATTTAAAACTGTTCTCTTTCTAGCTGTTTTATTCAAGGCTTTTTCAGTGATTCTTATGACAAGTGCTGTCAAGATGGGCAAACATCATATCTGAATATCTGGAATGAAAGAAAATAACTAGCTTAGTGGTTTTTAGATATTAAACATTTTGTGGGATGGATTATTATGCCGTTACACGATTTGGACAATTTTGGTGTTACACCCGGTACATACATACATTACTAGGGCGTTTCGGTTCTTTGTCATGTTGAATTGATAATGTTAATTATATTTTATGAATATGTCCTGAAGATGGTTTATTAGACCGAAACGTCCGACGTTGACATATTAACATTAAAACAGCATAATTGTATATAAGGATTTTTGTTTGTTTTTTCCGTATATTTTTCTTCATATATATATATATATATATATATATTTGAAAAAAGACATAAGGAAAACTTAATTTAGTCGACTCGTGTCCTTTTACATATATATATATATATATATATATATATATATATATATATATATATATAATGGACTCTCCTGTCGGTTTCGACGTATGAGCATCTGACTGCTTATTGATTCAGTTATGAAAGTTTGTTGCGATAATCTTAAGTGGCATTTAAGACCCGCTAGTGATTTACAAAGGAGGCCACATATGGAGCAAGTGTTGGGCTTGTGAGATGAGATCACTGATAGATTGGCTGACCTTTTAGATCTTGCTCTCGCTTTGAAAATTGCTGAGTCCACTAAAACACTTGATCCCCATTCTACCCGCTCCAAAGCTAAGCGCTCAAGGGTGTTATGTGGTATATTAACTGCTGACAAGTTGCTTTTCAGCTTGTCTTTGTATTTCAGCCATGGGCGTCCTACATTCCTGTAGCCCTGATCTAACTGGCTGTACATTAGGATCTTGGGTATCCTGTCATCAGACATTCTCAAGACATGGAGATATATATATATATATATATATATATATATATATATATAACTTTGAAAATTAAGTAAACATTACGTACGTCTAAATAACTGAAGAGAATTAATCAAATCATTGTTGTCATGACTTAAAACTCGAACTAAACAGCTATTATCCATAGTGTCTCACATTATCTTGTCATCTATGCCTCTTATCGTCCGGCAAATACAATCATTATTTTCACAGTTAGAAACAATTACCGTTGAGGAATTCTATTAAAAATTTCACTGATTTCTGACTTTTTGATCGAAACCGACTGCTTGATTCTTTCATTTCATTTTTTTCTTGCCCTTTCTTTAGGTTGTCGAACATTTAATGAACAACTCCAAAAACTTGGCGTGGAGTATTTTAAGATTTGCGCACAAGAATATGGACGCTCTCTTCGTTCGGTCGGCAGCAACCTTCTCGAGTTTTACAGCAACATTGACGGACTTCACGACCATATATGGAATTCTAGTGAGTTCGGCTCTCGGGTGCCGCCATCATTCAGGTACAGTTTCATCTTCTCATTTTATTTTCCTTTCTCGTGACTTTTCTATAAGATCATTGCAAAAGTTCGTGCACGATTAGAAAATTAAAAATAAAATCTTACAGATTACCAAAAACTAACATTTATTAATCAAGTACATAGGCTCCATCGTTTTTTTTTTTTTTTCGCAACTGTCCCCATCGTTCTACAAGCTTGTTGCCATTTTCGTTTTTTTTTTTTGGGGGGGGGTGATTTTTTTTTTTTTTTTAAAAGGTTGTAGGATTGTTTTCGGCTGACTGTAATCAAATTGTTGGTCATTTAAATTGGTCCGTAGAGACTGTAACAAATGAAAATATAAAAGAGCCAATTAGAGAGAATACACTGGGTGCTTTGATGATTTCCCATTTCATCTATTTAAGTTTCTGCAAGGTCTTTTTGTAACATGCGGTGTAAAATTGCACCTTTTCGATTTGCCAAAATCGGCTGTTATTTTATTTTATTTTTTTTTTGTTTTAATAGCTGCATTGAGATTGATCGCAGTACCCCTTTGCAGTTATTGTTTCACCGGCTGAAAAGGGTTCTAAGTAAATTATCCCTCTGCAATGCCACCAAACGCCAGTAACACCGTCATTGCATTTAAACCCGTTTTAGACACGAGTTCTGCACATTAACAAGCTTGTTTCTAGCTCCGTTTGCGTAGAACGATCCATTTCAACGCCTGTGTCAATTCCTTGTTCTGTTCCATCATAGAATGTGGTATCCAAGTGTTCATTTTGGAAACGAACCCAAGTCACTTCATATGGTGAAAGGCAGTTGAGAAATCAATTTTCAAACTCTAAGCAATCTCTCCCGCTGAAATCGTTTTATTCTACACGATGGCGAGCAGAGCGTTTTCATTGACGTCGGAAGGTCACCAGGGGCGTGGTTGATCGTTTACGTTAAAAGCACCCTGACGAAATCTGACAAACCCTTTTTGACACCTCGATCCAAATAGACGTTCTGAACGTTTGTTTTTTGTTTGATTTCTTTTCTTTTCTTTTTTTTGTCGCAGTTTTGAAATTCATGGAGCATAATTTGGCAAAAGTGCTTTTCATTCTCCATCTTTAAAGCATTCATTTGTGGACAAAACGTCAAAATTCAACAAAATCTAACTCGTAACTGAACAACGCAACGTTTAACTCTAGAGCGCACCAGAATTCTGCACCAAAACAAACGCCATTTTCAAGTTTCCGTCCTTCTATATTAACAATGAAAATCGGGCATGAACTTTTGCAATGATCTGATAGAAGTCTCAAGATCCGACGAACTTTGGCTTCTACCCCTTTTTTAATAGAGAAGGAAGCCAATAATCTACAAATGTATTTTCTTTAATTGATTCTCCTATTATTTACTTTCTCTTGCCTTTGATTTATTGTGATTATTGGATAATGTTATTGACACGGAAAGTGGAATCGGCGTGTCGAATTCGAATTTCAGCCGCCTCTTTAGTGTTCATTTTTCAATAAACGCTCTTAGTAATGGCTGAAATCACACCGAAAACATCAGTTTTCGTTCGACCAATATAAGATGGGCGGTGCTAGAGATCATTGGCTACTATAAACGATAATCCAAAATATGTTTCAGCTTTAAAATATCCCACAAACGGTTGATAAGCTGTAAAAATAAAAAATAAAAAAAATGATCGATTAATTTTTTATCAACATTTTGCACTTTCTTTAAAAGCAGATTTATTTTTAGATTGTAAGAATTTTTCAGGATAATAATGATTTACTTATACAAGTCTTACTAATTAACCCATAGCTGGAGGTACATTCATACCTTTCCCAATGGTATTTGCGCATAAGTGAACATAACAAACTCAACTGAAATAGAAACAGGGCTCTCTGATTAAGAATTCCGAGCCATTATCCATTACACCACCCGCACATCCAAGCTTACAACACCTGGTATTCCCAAGCAGTCATCTATCTAAGTATTGACTATACTCGACGTTGATTAAAATCGGTGATTGTACCGGAACAGATGTTTCAATGTGATATTGCCGTAAGCCATGAAAGAAAATATGGGTCAAATCTCAGCGTATACTGGGTATTCAAGACTTGGTTGGCCGCCAGTTTAGGAGAAGGTCTGCTTTGTATTGAAAACCGTAAAGAAGAAATATGATTGCATCAGTCGCAAATAGCATTTACAGTTCGTTTGTAGCATTGATTAATATTTTTTACAGCTTATCAACACCAAAATATATTTTAGATTGTAAGATAATTCTTTTCCTTTTTTTTTTTTTTTGTTGAATATTACATTAAAAATATTTTGTCATTAATAATGCTTTACCAGATATAATTCCTACTATTTAACAAATAGCTTCCTTTTTTTTTTTTACCCAACCAAGACAACTCCGCCAGTAAGACGCAAGGGGTTAGAGATTGTCAGAGACTATGAGGAAAAAATACTACAAAGTAGAGAGTACAATAAAACAACAAACATTAGGAAGACAGAAGATAACGACTGACATTAAATTTTTGAAGATCAAACTTGTGTTGGAAGCAAGAAGCCGGAAGTGAGTTTCACAAGCGCGAAGTGTCATAGAATAAATTGTTAGCATGGAACCTAGCATTATAACTAGCCTATTTAATTGTAAAATGACGAGACCTTGCCGTCACTCTAGTACTGCACTTAAATTCATAAAGTTTAGGTACCAGAGAGGAAAATTCATGAAAACAATTACCATGAAAATGTTTATAGAAAAGGCAGAGTGAAGCTGCTTGAGGACGCTCGGCTATGGAGAACGTCACGCGAGGTTTTATTTACTAATTTCTATTTCTAGACGTCCCAATGCACTCTGCTATTAAACACACAGCTGAGAGAAAAGAGAGTGTTTCATACTTTCATGAGGTTACTAGTGTGCAAGTAAGCGCAAAAATAGAAACGGGACCGGAAATCGGCTTGATGTTTCCATTCACTGCCATATAGGAAGACTGATATTACATAACAGTTCAGTACTCTTTTTTTCTAACGAAAATTTCCTGTTTCTTAATATTTTGCTTAGCTTTTGGAAGGCACATTTCGCCAGCCCAATGTGTTTTCTGATTTCGGTGTCGCACTTTCCACTCTCCGTTAAAACACTTCCCCTGTTGTACATGTTTTATTCTGGTATCTCCAATTTGTTATTTGCATGTTGGTCTCTTCCTTCAGCTTATTTATAGCCGATCTAATGTTAAATAATTGTTTAGCAGACTATTATTTTTAGGAGTAAGTGTATCTCTGCTCAGACTTCCTGAGGCTGACCTTCGAGGTCAGATGGAAGACAAAATTTGAGAAGTCGATTTTGATTGGTTGAGCTAGCGTTGGAAAGGAGATAGGAAAATGGTTTTTAGGGAGTTGATTCTGAACCGTCAAGTAATGCAGACGTGGTCTCTTTCGTGTCTAAAACGGGTCCCCAAAGGGGAGATTGACCCCACTGAATATTTAGAAGATATATACCTCATCGTTAATAAAATAGTTAAGTAAAATTCCCTGCGTTGATTTTTTTCATCTCTGGACTCAAAACAACTAGCGATTACCACCGCGAAAGAAGGCAACTTTATTATCGAATTAACGCCATCGAATAAAACCTCCCCAGAACGAGGTACTATACAACACCTAAGATAAAGGGATGACGACGTGAGATGGATAGTAAAAATATGAACATTACGGGGAACTACAAAGAGAATGACGTTGTGGAGAACCATGACCGTCAACGTCATAAAACGATATGATAATTAAAAGAGGAAGCTTAATTTGACTCTAGACACCAAGCATGGTTCACCAAGTGATAGTCGAACCCACTAAAATAATAATGACTTGCGAGATATGCTTGCTAAACATTACACCTCAGCCGAGCTCGCCATAGGGTTTAATTGGGTATCTGGAATAGCTGTGTATGGAACTGCTAATTTTCTTCCAAAAATATTTTTTAAATAATTACTTGGTGCAAAACTAACGATATATATTATCGTGTGAGCGCTGGTAAAAAAAAAATAACATTATTAAAATTTAGTGCAAATCATGAAAGTAAAAATGAGAACAAACACAATCTGCTGTTGGCAATATTTTTAAAAGGTAAAATGTAACGCAGGAAAAAATAAAATAAAATACAAATAGATTCTGTAATTTTAACGCCAAATATACATTTACACTTTAAACAAAGAAACTTTGCGAAATATTCCTGAAGTCGTATTCTTTTCATTCTTAATTGGCTCAAATAAAAAAATACTTACGCTTTTCTGATATATTTGGGTAGCAACCTTTCTTTTAAACATCTTTCATTAAATATAACGAACAAGAAAGATTTATTTTTTTTATTTAGTTTTTCTAACATCCTTACAATTTTTTCTGTTTTGTAGAAGTAAGGGAGTACATAATCTATAGTTTTCATTGCTTTCGGCCACTTCTTTAGCCATTTTCAAGGCGGGCTGATTTAGGTGTCAGTTTTTCCTCATATTTTGACTGTTTATGAAAATGTTTTGAAGATAGTTAAAGTTGCTGAAAGTGCTTGGGGCAATGAAAAATATAGAAGATTTCTGTACTCCGTTAATGTTACAAAACAGAAAAACGTAAGGATGCTGGGAAAACTAAATGAAAATTGATTAAGTCTTTCTTGTTTCTCGTATTTAATGAAAGATGTTTAAAAGAAAGATTGATATCCAAATGGGGAACCCGAGCCTTATCCACCCGGGCCACTCTTCAAAATTTACACAGCCCGCGCAAAAGTGGGCTCGAGTAAAGTACTTGTCTGTTTTTCACAGCCGAGTCTCTATCCAAAGACAGATCTCCGATTGAAACACACCCTGCCCGAAGAGGGAGGTCTTGTCAGTCGTAAGCTAGACAGTCGTAAGCCCGACTCCAACTTGTCTGTTTTTCTCAACCGAGTCTCTATCCAAAGATAGTCATCCTCCGCCCCGAAATGGAAGTCTTGTCACCCTCTAGCCGAAGGGAAAGGTCTTGTCTTGTTGCGAGGCTGGGATTGACTTCGACGCGCTGGT